TGGCACCTACCTTGCTGGGAATGACTGATGAGGCCGACCATATTTCTTTATTTGTCGGGTTGAATCCCAATTGTAATCATACAGGCGCTGGCATGCAATCTTTCTGATAGCCCATCTGTCTTGTTAAGGTTTTCTTGATTCTCATTAGATGATTCAAAATTGATGTTATGATTGGCATTTAGGCTGGCTTTTGAAAAGATGCAGCATCGAATGAATGTGCTGAGGCTCCAGCCTGATCATTGTGTTGCAAGCAAGGTAAGTGCCATGTCACATTGTCTGCTTTGATACCAAACTAGTGTTACTTATTTGACTCTACTTAGGGACTAATTATAAGTAAGTTGCTACATACACGTGATTCAAAGTGCTGTAACTTAGTGTAAAGGTAAGGTGGCCGACATCAGAGTGAAGTATTTAGCAAGATGCTTTTTTGATAGATAGTAGTAGTGCAATGCAGCCTCACCACTACCATCTTGTTGATAAAAACAACATGCTTATATGGAGAAAGCTATTGAGAATGAGAGCTATAGAGTTGCACATGTATCAACAAAATTGCATGCCCTGAACAGTACTGCCAATTTGCAAGGGATGGGTGAAAAAGGTGTTGGTTTTCTTGCTATTTTTCCTGTGAATGGTAGAAAGTGGGATGGTTTGTTGTTACGTCACATGGTCAGTACTGGTGAAAAGGGTGGAGGCTGGGTTTGTGTGGACTGGAACAGGAGAAGCTGGAGACTGTCAGATTGGTTAGCCAGGTTACCAAACCTATTATAGCTCCCGAGTCCTACATCCTCTCTATATTTGTGGAGAGGATGTAGGACTCTGGAGATTTAATAGGTTTGGTAACCAGGCTACAGATTGGTCTGAATATTATGAATATTTAGTTACTGCTTGAATTTTGAGATGATTCATGGGACCCTCAGATAAAGTTACATATGCATTCTGCATCAGATAACCAGACATTCCTCCAAGTCCAGGATGTTGGCTGTGACCCTGTGTTGAGTAAACATCAGGGATTAACAGCCACATGCTGGCTTACTTCACAATCACATGCTTGTACAGATCAGATCTAACCTTCTAAAGCACACCCTTTACACTGTAGTGCTCTAACGATTTTTTCAGACAGCTATATACATGTACTTTTGTACTTTTCTGAATGATTTGCAGGACGGTCTGACTTGGACTTGGACATTTTTGGTGCTTTTATTAAGTAAGGTGCTACACTTTGATTTCTTTGATCTTGCTCTTCATTGCGGATTTGAGATTTTGACTTTAATGGTCTAATATAGTGGATAGAAACGTGACTTTTTGATAGAAAATTCATGATAACTAGGTTGGTGTATTGAAAGCACTATTGTATGAAGTCAGCCTTGAAAGGTGGGCAGAGAATTGCATGATGCCACCTGCTGAGAGTTGAGAAATGAAAAGTTAATGGACTGGACAGATGTAAGAAAAGGCTTATATACCACCTGGATAGAACCACATTTTATTTTGCAGAAAAATTCTTGAGAATGTATGTGCTTGTTATGCCTTTCTTACATCCTGTATCCTAACAAATTGTATTTCAATGAAGAAAGCAGCCATAACATTTACAGGAATCCAAATAGTTTCATGTTAAAAACTACCACTTTTGTAATTAACTGTGGTTACTAATGAATCCATTAGACTAAGGCCACACCAATTTAATTTCTTGGTTAACGGATTCGCCTCTTCATTTTTTTCTGATTTGCAAATAAAAATAAAAATTCAGAATCAACTGCAAAATGCTCATATTTTGCCCTAAACAGTTGAAAACAGTCCTTTTCATCCTACTTGTTACAGTTATTCCATCTTTCAATGCAATGGTATCATTAAAAGTTCAAAATTCATTGTTTAAATTTTGAACCAGCCTGGTGTGTTGACTTCATGGCTCCTTTCGTACCATTTGGGCCATAATAGGATGCCTAGGCCTGTTTTTATTTTTTATTTTTTTTCGCCCGCCCGCTCCATTATTTTTCTGGAAAAATCCGTTAACCAAGAAATTAAATTGGTGTGGCCTAAGGCTGTACCTGGCAGCTTGCTAGCTTGCTACGTTTCCTATCTGTTGTGATTGACTGTGACATATCATATATTATTCATACATGGCACCAGACTACCCCCAATCTGCTATAATTGCTGGTGACATGTCATACATTGTATGTGAACCATTGTTCAATGAGTCTGCATTATCAGTAACATTGTACCATGAAAACACTTTATCCAGCATGATATGTCCACATCTTCAGATCTTTTTGCTGGCTAAGATCTTGAGGTTATACGGCTTATGTTGGAGACTTGAATGTGAAGCACATAGGTGTGTATTGCTCCTAAACTTGAAACGTGGTTGTAACTTCAGAATTTTACACCCTCAGTTGGGGTAGTGGCCTGTCAAAAAGGCTGAAAATGTTTCAGTTTTCTACCTGACATCTGCTTGGAGATTGCATTTGGTGGCTGAATGCTGGCAGACTTGTCCTGGTAATTATCATGCCCCCCACCAGCTATTCACACTGAGGTGTTCACACAACTGTAAACAGGGCAGATTTATGTCCAGTTGTTTTGGGGGTGTTTAGCAGCTGCCTGCAAATTACCCCTGAGTGAGTTAGATGTCAATTGATATGTTTATCTGGGGATGTACCTTTGGAACCACCTGTAACATCTATCCAAAGAGGAAACAAGATGCACAGATAGGAGGAGGAGATGACCTTTAATGATTAGTACAGTCTTGCTGAAATGCACTCATGTACAGTGTACCTAAGACTGCAGCTCAAAATGTCAGATTATGAGCAGTTGTCCACAACTGAACTTGATTTATAAGTGTACGATTTGCTCAATTCTACTCAATTCATGGTGCCTTTTTCCATGGATGTGTATCATACAGGAGAGCAAAGTTATTCTAATGGTTTGAAAATGTATTGCCTTTGATAAAACAGCAAAAAAGTCCATTAAGTATGTGGACTAAAGTGGAACTACTCTTTTTTTTTCAAATTTAGCGTCAATTTTATTTTCTTCTTTGAATGGCCAATGTACATTCCCATGACTTGCCTCAGCCAGACTCTTACTGATAGTCAGTACTTACCCAGCGTGTGCACTATACTGTCTTTTTCCAGCAGGAACAGTCTTTTTTTTCAGCAGGAACAATGTGCGAAAAGACAAAGCCTTTAGTATTGACAGAGCAGGTTCCACAGCAGGACCAGCTGTCCCCCTTGGCAGTAGAAACACCTACACAACAAGACTCAATAGGAGTTGACCCATCAGTACTGAATGGCTGAGGCCTTGTTTTGTCCCAGGGTTTTTATTGTGGGACCAGGTGTGTAGGACGGAATATTGGCCTTGTTGCCTTGGAGACTGTGAATGTGATGGTCGGCAGCTGACTTAAGTATGACTTTTTTGAAGTAGCCTGGTAATGTTGCTAGTCTTGTACATCTTAGATCTGCTTTGAATATTGGGTCCAAAGGAGACTGAGAGATTCTGAAAATTTCATCATTTGTCAGTGACTTTTGGAGCATTTGCCAGCATATATTCACCTTCAAAGCCATTAGGATAGTGTCTCTGGAATATGTAAAAAAAAAAAACACAATTCTGTGGCATTCCCATTGTACATATTGATAATCCAGGTATGTTGTACCAATACACATCAGAAGAGTGTTGTGCTTTGCTTCAGCCTGTGCTTTACTGGTGCTTCCACATCCTCCTAAGTTCCCTCTCCCTTTAGGGCAGCCATAGATCATGTGACAGTGGGAAGTCTTTGTTTCTGGGTCCCTCGGGATGTGATGGGTAATTATCATAGATCCCAATCTGTCAACCAACCGGTCCAGTTGGCCTCCATCTCCACATTGTTCTTGACTGCGTCTTGAGTGAATGAGAGTCCCACGCCCAGGTAAGGTTAGGATCTCTGCTCAAGCTACTTTTGCACCTGTGTCAGACACTTGTCTTTGACATCATGAAGTTCTATGAACTTGTGATGACTTGTTGGATTATAACTTTGTGGAAAAGGCAGCAGCTCTGCAGTGATTTTTAGGGAGTTTTCTGTTTTGTAATCAGGGATTAGAAAAGTAGGCCATCAAGGGAATGGTTGTTGTTAACTTGTCATATCCATTATATTCCGTGTCATACAATGTTTAACACCTGTAAAGCCTGCTTGCTGCATGTTGAAACTACACTATCCATATATATCCACTGGCAAAGGAACTAGTTATACTTATAGTACAAGATAGTAAGAATCTATAATTTTTCTGACTTTGGTATCAACATTAAACATAACCATTAAAGACCTAGTTGAGAGACAGAGGTTGACTTTCAAATTTGGTAGATGTGACTTGTAATACATTGTCTTGTTTTTCAGTAAGTACATAGAGCAATGTAAAGATGTAGATTCTTCTTAAGGTGATAAGATGTTGTCCATTGCACCCTCCAGTCACCGCGTGCTTGTGATTAAGGCATGTTTTGTGTGCACCTGCCTCCAGGCCATTTGGTATATGAACCGGTTGAACAAGTTGAAACACACTAAACAATGCAGGTCGTCAGGTGATTATGTGAACCAGTCATGCAGCAGTTCATCTGCATTGGTTCATCTGCCAGTTGTTCCTCTGTCAGAGGGTGAAAAAGGGGGATTCTGAGATACTGATTTTAATAAATCTAGCCGTGGTAGCCATTGACATTAGGGAGCCGACGGAAACTACGGAGGAGGGCACCCAGACTATGATAAATCTGCTGACAAGTTCACATCCTTGTCAGAGAGTTAATAAAGACGAATATATTGTAGAAAAATTGTCATAATCATGACTTGGAATGGACTCTTCTCTCATAAAAATGATTTTTCATATTTCAGGAGCAGACACTTTTGCCGTAGATGTCACTGTTTATGTATAAGTTTATCAACAGATGCAGTGCAGCATGTTCCATGGGTATTACCAAGTTTCTAGGAGATCAGTTTCATCATCAATCACAAGGCAAATGCTAATATGTAGATTTATCTTATTTCCTTGCAGTGTTAGGAAGTTAGGACCTCCTGACTTCGCAGCACAAGTGAGAGTTTGACCTTTGAGCACTTTGTCTGGTGGACCAAGTCTCTCCATGACTGATATCTACCACATCAACATTAATACTCTGCGGACACGCATTCGGGAGTATAACCCATATGCACATAAGGTGAGAGGTTTGTTCTTTTGTTTAGCAAAGTTTTGAATGCTCTTACATATAGTTGAGCCTTTCTCAGGTCTTGGAAAAAAAGTTGTGTTTCCTGTTTCTTGACCGACCCTAGAAAAAACTGTCGACCCTGGCCTTTTTTATGTCAATTCCTGGTAGGGATATAAATTTTTCAAGCTGATTGACCTTTGCTAGCTCCATGATCTGACAATTTTTTCGGGACTTAAACAGGAAACACAACGGTTTTTTTCCTTGGCCTCAGAAACTTTGACATTATCACAGTAAATTAGAGGGTCTGGTGTATGTAATAAGAAAGGGAATACAAATCCTGGTTTCACAACTGGTTTCTGTCACAGATCTGTGGGTATAAAAGATGTAACTGTTATGGCTCACAGCTGGCCACATGTCATTGATCTTGAGCAAGCTATTTAAGTTTTGGAGAACATGGGTTAGGTCCTTGGCAAACTTCTGAAAATCAAGCTTGCACTAACCATGGTATACCCTGACATGAAGCCATATTGTATTGAAAAATTTTTAAAAAGCTTATGAAAACTGATTACTCAGAAGAAATGATATAACTTCAGAATGAAATTAAAAGCATTGTATTACTGCTTTATCTGTTTGCTTGTGACTGTTCCATTCTCATTGCTCACAGTATACAAATTTGGTACGTGGAGGAGAGAGATAGATGAGAAATCACCGTCAATTTGTTTTGAAAATTAAAAATATATTTTAAGATTTAATGTACATCTTTGAAGCAGTCTCAGAATTAGCACAAGATATGTTTTGAAAAATCAACTTACTGTGTAATACGAAGTAGCCCGTTTGTTATGTTGATGTAATAGAGAACTGTTCGAATACTCAGCTGAATATTCAGGCATTAGAGTTCCCAATGAATTGTCCCATTCTGTTATTGGTCTGGGAAACTCCATGGCAGGTAAATACCATCAGTAACAATATAGTTTATCTGCAAAGGATACCATTCGTAGCACTTACCAATAAATTCTTACCACGGGAACCACTAAATGCCATCAGTAACAATATAGTTTAGTGGTCCCCATGGTAAAAATGTATTTTGTCGTTAAAAAAAGTGCTACAAATGGAATCCTTTCCAGACAGGATATGAGCAAAGTTTCCAGAGAATGTTCCAATCTCCATGTCCTCATATGACTGTAAAGTTCAGGGTATACGTATAGCGTGTACTTTGAACAGGATACACAACATCCCAATGTTGAACCCAACACATGTGATGTAGAACCTGTGACCTTGCCTGGTGGTCAAAGTTCAAGGACCATTAGATATAGATTCTGCTCATGAACATATTCATGTGCAGGGAGTCGTCCTGCCGGTTCAGATAGGTCATTACTGGGGCAGGCTGACAGGCTGTACGCATGTGGTGGAACAGGTCTCTACTGGAGAACAGTTCAGCCATCGTGCACGGGGAAAAGGCACACATTCATTAACCTGGCAAAACCTTGTTTTGGGCATTTGGAAAATATTTGTTTGAGTAACGAATCCTGTTGGGCAGTTGTTTTATTGATACCTCTGATCCAGCATTACAATGTGGAAGAACAACAGGACAGGATACAGGGTAGGAACCTCCTTGGTTATACATGAGGGTATACATGTACGTAGTGTGCTGGTATTGTATGTTTGAAGCTCTTTAAACGCCACAGTTATGGTGCAACATTTGCACTTGTGACCACATCAAACACTGTAATTGTGTTTTGATTACATTTTATGTGTTGTGTGCATGTATAGTTACGTACTTGCATTGTTTACATGTAATGTTGGCTATATTTGCTGGTAGCTGATAATAATCGTCAATGTATGTACACGTAATATTCAACAGATCGCTGTTATTTGGTTCCCTTCATGCATAGTGGGACAAAGGCATGATTATCCTTGCTGTTTCTGTAACAGGATTTAGGATATACCCTGTCCCCTCTCCCAGCAAGTAGGGATATTTCAATGTTTCCCTTATGCACCAAGGCCTTGGCTGTTTCACTGTATAGCTGGTATAGTCACTAGGTCTGTGTATGAGGGTTCATTACCTACAATAGATAAGTGGTAATTGAAGTCATGGAAAGAATAGCAGTAAACTGTAGGTTACTATATGTATATATATATATAATACTAACAAACCAACGACATAACCCTCCCAGTGTCAGAGTCAGTTGGGTTACCTTTTGGCAATGTCAGGCTTACATAGAATGATGGTTCAACTGCCTGGCAGAGTGTCTGTGTCCATAAAATAACCTTCCTGAAGGCTGTGACATGGTTTCGCATGTAGGGCTCAAAATTCTTTCTGTATATACGTGCCGTGCCACATGATATATTACATGCAGCAGACAAGTCCATAAAATATTGAATTATGAAGCAAGTGAGTGGATATATTACCTGCAGTAGACAAGTCCATAAAACTTTGAATTATGAAGCAAGTGAGTGGCTGGTACCATTTTCTAAGGATGGTTTGAATGGTCCTGACTTTGGAATTTTTTTTTTTTTTTTGTGATATGTCAGTACTTAACTAATTACTGTTTAATTGTGTTGTTTTGTTTGACTTTATACACCTTGATTATGTCCAACCCTTCCATATAACCCCTCTCAATGATTCAATCATTCATGAATGGTTCACCCAGACTTGTTTTACCAGCAGTCCTTGGGAGTGTGAGATGACCTTCAAATTAAACGACCTTCAGTTAATACTGTAACTGTTACTGAGATTAGCCTCTGTTGTAACCTTCTGAGACAGAACTGTGTCCCAATGCAAATGAAGAATTTGTTGATCAATTTTTGCTTTCGAAACAAAAGAACAGATGGTACTTGACACAAAACTGACTAACTGAACGTTACTTGTGTACAAGGCATTGAAATGACAAGGAAAAACAGATGTTGTTTTACTGAAAAAAAAAGACCAAATGGTCACTGTGTCCAATAGCCTGGGTACCATCCCCAGTAGTATATTCGCAAACTCTATAACTGGGTCTGGACTTGCACACATATGTAGCGTCTGGAGTCTAAATATTCGTTCAGATTTTGAACGAGCGCGCTGATTGGTCCTACTCGTCTAAGCCCTTTTTTGGGTGTGTACATATTAGGTAAGGGCTGTTCGGATGTCCGAACGGCGACGTTAGCGTCCGTTCGAACGTCCGAACGCCTTATCATCAACATGTCCGACGGCGAACCGAACGCTAAAGCGCACATGATATAGCCGTAGTCAGTCTTT